ATTTGTATTACATTACTTAAACTATAAGCTATAATTAAAATTTATATAAAGTTGAATTTGTATTTAAAAAAAATATATGAAGCTCTAAATTGTAAAAAATCAAGGTAGATTTTTTTGTTTTGAGTTAAAGGTGAATTAAATTGTTTAATAAATTTGCGATACCCTATTAAATTGAAACCTTGTTCTGACACAAAAATATGTATGGATGTTTGATGATATCGTGCGCGTGATGAAATAACAAATCTCTAAAATTTTATATTATTTAATTTAAATTAATTGACTTACTATTGATTATAAAATTATCCAACATATATACATTGCACACGCACACATTCTCACATTTAATTGAGTATATTTTATAGTAAAAAAAAAAAACATAGGCGTTGGCCGGTATCTTCAGTATCAATATTCATCTTAGGTTATTCGGCCACTTGTACATATATGATAGTGTGTTTCCTGTTTCGGCTCTGAAGAAGCTGCTGTACCCCAATCATGGCGGCACATAAACTTTAGTTTAACCTTTTAGTAAATTAATCTTAGAGCAATAATTACTGAATTTATGGTAATTTTATTAATTTATTAAAAACTCGGTTATGTCAAACAAACAAAACATTATTAACGAAAATAATAAAGCTATAAGCACCTTTTTGGCAAATTCATTTCCACCAGATGCTAGAGCCTTGGAAAACTTTCATCGCTCATCCTTAAATATAGAAGTCGGTCAATTACATAGTTTAATCGATCCATAATTCAAACACTCGAAATAATTAAAATTTCAATTAACTTCAATGTAAAATAAGTTGCCTATATTCCCTCGACTAAAAATATTCAGCGCTTTTTTAATCATGCCCATAAATCTATCATTTTTCCATATGTCAGTGACAATGATAGATCTTTTAATTTCGCAAAAATGTTCGTTTCAATATCCGGAATATGCGCACACCGCACCACCCATACAAATCATTGCTTTTTTATATTTTTTTGCATATAAGTTTTAATTCGGAACGAGAGATATCGCCGTGGAAAACATAAAGTATACGAAACGGTAACTGAATGGAACGATATATCATATGTCGCCATATCTTTGGAAAAATATCGATTTCGCGTAAATTTAATCACATGAACTAAAACCGAGTGCGAACTGGAAAAGGTATAAAAATTCACGACTTTGTCATGCTTTATAGCTTTGCGAGCTCTAGGAATAACTTTGACTAGATATGACTGAGTCAATCATGACACAAAGTAAAATTTGAATAGAATCCAAAAACAATTCTCTCATTTAATAATATTAAAAATTAGTATTACATAGGAACACATTGATACAATTCATATAAGGAAACAAAAACCACTCAATTATGGTATATTCACCTTTGAACCCTTACATGGTCGATTCCATAGATATTCCACCGGTACAGATATCACATACATTCGACAACTGATTTACGGCACTATTCGATGAAAATGGAAAAACCTTTATGGCCACACCGCGAAAAAAATAGAAAAACAAGAAAAAATGACATACAAGCCAGGTCAACTACGAACAATCATTCGACTTTATATGGTTCTCTATATTTTCCTTCTCCAAGATACAAAAAAATGTATATAGCAGTTATGAATTCAATTACGAAAGATGATGACATATCGATTGATTGATATTTTGATTTTTTTAATTTTTAAAGGCTAATTTAGATAGAAACTATTATTTAAAATATAACAACATAATAAACATACATGAGGGACACAGATTTTCGTTGAATATTAAAATGGCAAAAACTGTAGAAATAATAGATATGGATTTATATATAAAAAGTTTATTATTACCTTATTAAAAGCGTAAAAAATAGTTCGAATTAAAATAAATAAAATCTGATTTTATATTTTTTTATAAATAATCGTAAATATAATTTTGATATTAAGTTCTCTATGATTTTAATTTAGAGTCAATGATATGATAATAAAAAATAAATAGATATACGTTTTGCTAAAACAATATTAAATTCTAATATTATGAAGAAATTAAGTATAAAAAGTTAGAGCCAAATTATTATATTGATATTTAAATTATGAAAAAGACTATGAAGATTATATAATTTGTCAGGTATTAAATTAATAATTTTCTAAATTAATTTTAATTGATAGGATAATATCAATTTAAACACAAATATATACAGGGTAACCCAGACTCAACGTCAAGCCGAAACGAGTTATAGTAATAATAATAATCATAAAAAAGTTAATTTATATAGTTTAAAAATTTTGAGCTTTTAGTACAACCTAGAGTTTGGTGAAAATGTAACTATTTTTCGATCATTATTAATTAATTTGAATGATTTTCTTTCATTTCAACTTCAGGATAATGTCAATTTAAACACAAATATATACAAGGTAACTCAGAACTCAACGTCAAACCAAAAACGAGGTAATAGTATTAATCATAACTGCCATAAAAAATGATCTTAAATAGTTTGAAAATTATGAGCTTTTAAGTACAACCTAGAGCCTACGTGAAAATGAACTATTTTTTGATCATTATGGTTAATTTTTATGAATTTTGTTTATTTAAGCTTTGAATCCGTAGCCGTAAATACCATTTCTAAGACCATAGTGAAAATATTGATGCAATTGCTCCAAGTTTTCAAGAATTGAGACATTCTGTTGAACTATTTTTTTTATTTTCAAAAATGATCAACTTTTATAGGCCATATATAAAAAAATGCACTAAAGTGTGTGGTCAGCTTTATCAAATGTAAGATAGTAAAATATAAGCTTTTCGCTCACATTCGGTAAAAATTTTTAATTTAATATCGCCAATCAAGGGTTCTGGACATATGTATATATATAATATATATATATATATATATATATTAGGTTGTCAAATATCTCCCTTCCGCTTTTTTGCTCTCGGTTTATAATACAAAAAGGCGGAAGGGAGATATTTGACAACCTTTGACCAAATGGGTAGTACTGCCCTAAGGCAGGTCTGTGAGTTGAGTTAAACTCAAAGTCGATTCAGGGAAGAAGTAGTTTAGAGATTTTCCCATTTTCATTTCACACCGCAGTGCCAAGATGGGCTAATTTTCAATTGGAAACATATTTTGATCTATATTTTCAACTGAAAATGGAGAGCGGAGATTCAAACGCGCGCCCTTGTCCATACAAAGTCAGCGCGTTAACGACCTTCGCCACGACAACCCGTATATATAAATATGATTGTGTATGTACGTTATACACTATATAATACACATGCACATTTACGTTCAAATACAAAGTCAATAAAAATGAATGAATAAGTGATATTATTAATTATAAAAAAAATAACTTAAAAAAGTTCAAAACATGTTACCTTCAATGTCAAACTATCAATCTATGTATAGTTGTCTATTGGAGCTGTTAACTTCTAATTTTATCATAATTCAAAATTAATTTAAATTCACATAAATACTAATTTGGAAAGTTTAAATTAAATTTTATTTCTTAAGGAATTTGTTGATTCTTATTAAATTATTTACAAATATTTAGCTCGTACAGGTACACACACAGACACACACAAAACATACCACACAACCATATATATATAATAATATATATATTATATAATATTATGTATATTTTAATATACATCTATCATATTCCCAACGCATTCAGAATTCATACCCTCATCTACATTCAGCGTCCATCCTCGTCAATTCCTATTCCTATTCCAATTCGAAATATTGGCTAGATGTATTTGAGGTAAGTAACTATAACTTAATCTTACCTGTAAGAGTAACGAGACGCCGACGATGCCCTGAGCTCGGGATAAAGCTTCTGTGAAATTCGTGTACAGCTGAGAATTGTAGCCGTATATCTGGATCTGTGAAATTGAACGCAACCCGATAAGCGTTTCTGAATTGCGACGTAATGCGGATCATTGCCGATGGGATTATCAAAACAACGTGCAAACGCATATGGGCGCGATCGGGATTAGATCACGACGCGAGACCATAGACAGACGTAGGTACGTCGGTTCGAATCAATTACGAATCCACCGAGGCAATTATATGACAATAATGGCATTGTGAAATATTAATATGGTTTAAATAAAAATATGACATATCAAAATTACTGTGATATGGTTTACTTCAGAGGTCCCAGAGTCGATACCCACTTCGAGCAGCCTGTTGTTAGGCAGCAGTGACAACCATTTTCACTTGGAAATATAGACAGCAATATGTTTCCAAGTGAAAATAGCACTCACCCGGCATTGCTGCACCAATAAAATGTCAGCCCTATTAGATTAATTCTAATAACAAAAATCATCAAATATGGATGGATTAACCATTGGGTTACCATCTAAAAAAATACGAAGGAAGGAGAAGTTTCAGCCCAACAGCTCATAGGACGTAAGGTTCTGATTGCTGTTCAAAAATAATAATAAAAAAAACTTAACAAATACGTTTCTGAAAAATTGATAACGATAAATTGAAACTTATGAATTATAATGTGCTAAAACCTCAAAATCAATTCAAATTAAGCCTGACAAATTACCATGATAGGCATGGTATAAACAGTTGGAATTTTTATTATATATGCAGCAAATTACAAAAATACTAATTACTATAGGGTACCGATTCTTCTGTCGCATAACAGAAAAATGTTATGGCAAGGCCATGTTACGAAGAACTTTTCATATTAAATATTGACAAAAGCCATGTGGTTGGTTATAGTATTAATTTAACTATCATAAAAAAATTTCTAAGGTTGTCAGATAGAAATCCTAACCTAGAAACCGCACAAATGTCAAAAAACGATCTTAGATAACAGAGTGTTTCTGAGACTGCTTTATAACTTACAACTCGCTTATCACATGCGAGTGTGACGTTGCAGTCTATGTATAAAACGCCTGATACATGACATTTTGACAATTTAATATGATTTAATTACATAATGTATGGAAGTTGGAACGTAATATGGCCTTGCCATAACATTTTTCTGTTATGCGGCAGAATCAGTCCCTGAATTTGGGCAATATCGGCTCCTTTAAAAAAGTATTTTTAAAAAAAAACTAGATTGAAAAACTGACAATTAGAGCTTTAGACACAAATTTTAGTACACTAAAGTCCTAACAATATTATTTACTTATTAAAAATATTCAGTTTATTGTGCTACTTCCGATTTGTTTCAATTCACTGCAAATTTTTTAATGATATTGTATTCTTACTAGAATTAGGTCTAATATTTAGAACCAAAACCAGAGAACTTACAACAAGATATAAATTCAGAACAATCAATAAAATTTAAAACAATATCAAAAATTTGGAACAATTTCTAAAATTTAGAACAAAGTGCAAAATTTAGCATAAAATCTCAAATTTAGATAATATCTATAATTCAGAACAATATCTAAAATTTACAACTATTTCTCAAATTTGGAACATTATATAAAATTTAGAACGATATATTATATTTAGAACAATATCTAAAAGTCACGATGATATTTAAAATTTAGAACAATATTTAAAATTTAAAAAATGGATTTAAAATTGGCATCTAAAATTAAGAACAATCTCTAAAATTCAGAACAAGCTCTAAAATATAAAACAATATTTAAAATTTAGAACAATATCTAAAATTTAAAACAAGATTTAAAATTTAGAACAATATATAAATATTAGAATATTATCTAAAACTTAGGATGATATCTAAAATTTAAAACAATCTCTAAAGTTTAGAACAAACCCTAAAATTTAGAACAACATATAAAATTTAAATAAATCTGAATGATGAAATTTACAGTATTTATAATAATTATTTAATTACAAATTACAATTAAAACTGTTATTAATTATTAATTAATTTTATTCCTGGAATGTTTAATTATAGTAGGGAATGTTCCAGCAGTTTTTTTAAGACACAATGTCATGCACCGCTATTTTAAAATTGTAAGATCTATACAAGTGTACAGTATTTTGTTAAGAATTTCGAAAATTATCGAAACGCATAATTCAATTCCACCGCTCCTTCTTCTCGCTTGAAACTTTCTCAGCTCGATCGACGTTTCTTGGCAGGATAATAATAATGTAATTTATTGCAGCGTTGTGTTACTCAGCAAAATAATTAGGGCGATCTGTTTTGCGAACAATTATCTATCTCAATTCAAGCGTTTCTAATGAAAGCACGACAATGACTTGAATGCACCTCATGTATTTTCCTTGGCGAACGGCTGTGCGACGAAGAGTCATAAACCGGCAGTAAAGGAGACGGTGTCCACTGCACTTTTATGATTTTGGAATTACTTTAGTTCATCTCTTGGAGATGGACAAGTAAACCTGAGTTATCACACTGATACCCATATTATTAGGAATTCCAAATTACCTTCTATTCTATTTCTTCACGCGAAGGATGGACAATAGGACACTCAAGCTTTTATACTGTTGGTGATATTGTCGAGATTTTTGACTGATGTTACTTTCAGGTTAGTTGAACGATGAACGTATCATATCTAATGCATATCATATATCATTACATCACAATGATTGTAAATGAATATTCCTGTACTCTATTTCCTGAATACTCACAATACAAGCCAAATATACACTAAATTTAAATCAGTAATAGGTTGAAACGTAGTCTCTAAACATTTGCTGTACCGAATGATACTTGCTCATCAAATTTCAACTATCTCAAGGGAATCTTCGAAGGAATATTGCAACTTTAGATGTTTCGATTAGTCTTTCACCCTGCACCGTTTCTGAAGATTAATTTGCACGTCAGGATCTCTACGGGTTTTACTTAACTTACAAGACTTGACCAGGAGATAGTTCACCATATTTGGTATCAATTATTTCAATTGCATTGCAAATAGACTTCTCAGCGATCTTAATTCATGAAGTCGTAGACGAATGCTTAATTTAGTATTCTTTGAATTATTGAAAAATTGAAAAGTATAAGTAACCAATGAAATGGGTAACAATTTAATAAGTATTTGATCACCAAAATCTAAAAACCTGGCGACCACTGAAAAGAATTATGAAAAAAAAACCTATGTGGAATAGAAAATTTAGTGCTTTTAGTAATATGTGATATTACTATGTGTAAAACTCCGTAAACTTGCTACTGTTGTAATTTTTTGTTTGAATTATTTTCTATTTCTATTCAATAATTATTAACAATAGCTATGATTTCATACTGCTTCTAATATTATTTTCTGGTTTCTCAGCTAAAGATATATATTTGGCTGTGTAAAAATAAAAATATTTATATTTGAATGAGTCAATACAATTAATATCCTAAATAGGACTATATGATTCAAGTTTTGGAGTTATCAAGTAGAAAAATAAAAATTATTGGATATTGGATTATCGATAAAGAATTGATTTATTTTCATGGATTTTAATCTATATTTTGTTTTATAAATGCCAATTTTGTGAACTGAGTAGCATTAACAAATCATTGATCATTTTTTGTAAAATTAGTAAATAATTTATAAAATTCAGAATTATAACTATAAAAAGTACAGTTATTTTCAAATCCTTAACATTATTAATTCTTAATAATAATATTAATAATAATAATGATTAATAAATTCTATTAAGATGCCAGTTTTGTCGTGGCTATTTATTAGTAGTCAACTATAGCCGGCACAGATCAATCTAATCCCTGACTGTAATTGTATCTTAAAAAAATAATAAAAAAAAATGTATTTCTAACCGAAAATAATTTCTGTCGGGTACTGTGATGTGAAAGACAAATGAAATATATATATAATATTTGTCACACTAAAGGGCCGATTGTGCCGTAATGATAATGATATGGCAAGACTATGTTTTGTAGCAGTTTTCATATAAAGTGGTACTAAAAACTATTATAATCCAATGTTGGTTGCTGTGTAGTCAAGCGTTTTAGATAGAAAAAATAACCTAGAAAACGCACAAAAGTCAAAAAAATAATATTATAACTGGATTTTTGAGATATTTTTTGATAACATTTGGGTAAAGTTGCATTTTATGTGTGAACCGCCTAATCGCAGCAAATACATAGAATTCTTATAATTTTTAGTAGCATCTTGTATGAAAACTGGAACATACATAACCTCGCCATAACATTGGTTAATTTTATGATCGGCTATAAATATCTGATTTTTTAATTATCTTATTTACGAATGCGTCTTTGAGCAGATCATTCCACCATCATTATTAATTCGAGCCCAACAATATGAATAAGGCACCCCCTGGCGCCTGTGTTATGGTTGTGCCTCCTGATGCGCACTTTAATATAACGGGCAATTAATTACCTGCTCTCATTCGCGTATATTACAAAGAAGTAATCACTTTGAGTAATATGTGTAATCTTACGGGCGCCGCGCCTTTGATCTAAACATACGGAAAAGAAAGAGAAGCCCAGACAAAGGGTTCGGGAGGCGCCTGAAGTTGAAGAATATATATGCCGAAATTACTCATACAATGTCTCGCAGCCTTCATTTGAACTTTGTTAATTGCAAAGATAGTTTCAACTTTGATAAATAGCTGCCTTCATATCGCGAGCGTTTGCAAACTCGAAAAGGACAACGTATTGTAATATTTTCCGACGGGGGATTGCTTCAGTTATTAAAATTTACATTACTCATTTTTTATGTATATATTCAGGGCCGGATTTGAAAATTTGGCGCCCTAAGGCACTGACAAAAATGCCGCCCCATCCTTGAATTTTTACTTTTATCATTTTCTAAAATTAAAGTAACTATTTGATTACAGAAAATTTATTACGCATTACATACTATAAATAGTGATGCTTGGCATCGTGAGTTAAGACAAATTGCTAGAACTTTCTGTACCAAATTTTTTTTTTAAAGCAATCGCCCTGCTTTACCTGGGT